CCCGGGCGCAGCATGAGAAGAGGGGCTGACAGGAGGGAAGTGCTCAGCGCTCAGCGCTCCCTCCTGTCACTCCTTCACTGTAGCGTGGCCGACCTCTGTATAGTCTGCAGGTACATGGAGCATCTGAGTGTGCACTTCCTTTTAGTCCGGCCGGGTACAGGAAACAAAAGCTCCCTGTACCCGCGGACCATACAGAGCTCGGCCACGCTACAACAGTGGTGGGGGGGGGGAGGATAAAGAAATTGGAAGGGGAGAATGAAATGGAGGGGGACAAGGAAACTGAGAGGGGGGGAGAAGAAGGAAATTGAGGGGAAAAATTGAGAGGGAGGTTGGAGAGGGAGAGGAAGGAAGAAGGAAGTTGGAGGGGAGAAGGAAGTTGGAGGGGAGAAGAAGGAAATTGGAGGGGGAGGAGAAGAAGGAAATTGAGAGGGGAGAAGAAGGAAATTGAGGGGGGAGAAGAAGGAAATTGGAGGGAGGGAGGAGAAGAAGAAATTGAGGGGGGAGAAGGAAATTGAAAGGGGGAGAAGGAAATTGATGGGGGGGGGGGAGATTGACATCCATTACACACAATGCACCCCTTGCACACAGAAAAATACACAATGCATTACTGTCAGGATTACAGAATGATCCAGCACGTAGAACTGTGTAACAGAGGACTGATAGGTAACGTATACCGGACCTTAGAATGGCTGGACTAACGTACCAAAGAATAGTCAGGAATAGCCGAGGTCAAGGGAAACAGAAAGAGACACAACGATAAGGAAAAGCCAGGAGTCAGGGATGCCAGAAAACAGGAAGTCAAAAACAATGCCAAAGTCAAATAACCAGAATAACCAGAATCAATAACACGCTCTCGGACAACCACAAGGGAAACCACGACAGGGCACTGAGCAGGATGAGAACTGGGCCTAAATACCCCTCCTCCAGGTCTGATAGGCTGTAACCGGCCTTTGACTCCAAAGGCAGTACCAGATCTCATTTGCATAATTGCTGCTCAGCATTAACCCTTCTGTGGATTTGGTTGTTGCTCGGCACAACTTTTCCTGTGTGGACAGTAAATGTCATTAACCACATTTTTGTAAGCGGGTGAATACGTGACAATTACACACACAGACACACATACACAAGCAATGTATCCCTTACACACACAGAAACACACAATGCATTCATTACACACATTCAATGCACCCCTTACACACACTCAATGCATCCTTTACAGACGCACACTCTGCATCCCATACATACACAAACACACCTTGCAGCCCTTACACATACAAACACAGATTCACACAATGCATTCCTTACACACATCAGGACATCCCCTACACACTCCACCCCCTGTGAACAAACCCATTGGTGGAACATAACAATACATACATATAATAGGTGGAGCTCTTAAATTCTGCGAATTTTCTGCAAAATAAAATAAGTACAAACAAATAGTGCAGTATGTCTTTAAAACACTATATGCAATACAGTAAAAGAGTGGTTCAACTCACAAGACTAGAGTCATACCATCATATGACTCAAGTAGTATGCTCCCTTGGACCATTGGGGGTTGTCCGGACCCTTCTTTTTCAGGATTCTTGGTGCTGCTACTTGTATCTCTTAGTAGGTAACCCAAAGAATGCCAGATGTAGAAGGAATCCTTTAATGGTAGTTTTATTTCTTCAATGAATTAAAATACAATAAGAAAAAAATAATATATTTGTACCAGATATTTCTGGGTAAGCTTGATGGTCCAACAAAAAGTCCAAGTCCGGAATTTAAGAGCTCCACCAATTATATGTATGTATTGTTATGTGTTTCTAAGTGGTGTAGGGGATACCACTTTATAGGTGTTTTCTGAGCTATAATATTCTCTTGTCCCCACATTGTGTATATATCACTTTGTATTATCATTGGTAGAACATGAAGGTGGACCCTGGGACAGACCTTGAGCTGTGTAAAGGGCCCCCAAAAAATGGAGCTGCTTCCCGTTCTCCCAGAACATTGATTTTTGTGACCACAGTTACAAACCGCCTCCAGAGAACCTGTTCTACACCAGACCAGTGGACCCAGACTGCAGCTAGAGCCCATCATCATCCTCATCTGGTTGTAAGTAGGCAATCTAGTATATTATTCGTGGCACTAATCTCTAATTTACCACACATTAAAGAAACACTATAGTCCCCAGAACCACTGCAGCTTAATGTAGTGGTTCTGGTGTCTATAGCCTGTCCCTGCAGGTCTTTTAATGTAAACACGGCGGCACTGCAGCACTGGCGTTAGTTAACATGGCAGATCATATGGGTGGGGCATTGTGATGTGACATGGGAGGGGCGGCAAAAATCCTTGCACCGGCCCTGTATACTGTGGTAACCCTAAATAGATAAAGATGTTCAGACTTTAAGATGCCATCTTGTCCTAAGACAGGGAATTTTCCATGACGTGTGCACCCTTACGTTTTAGTTATGGCCTTCTATTTCTTCCAAGTTAAGGGAGATCCTAAAATGAATAAAGTAAAAGAAGTGTTACTTTTTCATATATGAACTATGGTAACCCTAAAATGAAGACACCTAAGGTATAAATATGTGTCATTTAGTTGGCCATTGGAGCAACTATAAATTATTGTAATGGATTTTATATGTCTATTTTTATATAATAAAATAGCTAAAAGAGAAAACTTTATTGCTTCCAAGACAATCCTTATTTTATATTGTATTCTTAATTATTAATATATTTTAAATAGAGGATCTCTTGCTAACTATATAATATTATGGCTAAAGATATCTGTAGGGTTAGCCCTGCTAAGTTCTCTGCTTTAAGAAGTTATAGTGGTAAATATGAAGCCCATGGAGCAACGCAGGGGGGGAGTGGGCCTTGACAGGGCCAGAGAGTTGGCAGGTGAAGTTAAGGTCAAGGGGTGTGGAAAAGTAATGTCTGGACAGGAGGGGGAGGAGAATAAGGGTTTAAATAACGGCCATTATGGTGAACTGGCCTTTTTAATCAAAATCACACTTACTTGATACTTGTCAGGTTTGTGTGGTCTGTTCTTTTTCTTGCAGGGATGGCTTCTGCCGAAGAAATCTTGGCCGGTGTGAGAAGAATGGTGGAAGAGAAGGGGATGGCGTGGCTGCAGGATCAACTGGGGGCCTCAAGGGTCGGAGTGCGCAGGGCGGGCGCTAGTCGGAAGCCTGCCGGTGGGAGAAGGCCCCGCCACAAGTCCGCGGGCAGGAGGCAGAAGGACACAGCTGGATCCTGTACAGCTGGGATGGCAGCCAGGCAGCAGGGCCGCAACGGTTCAGAACTTCAGCGCCCCGGTGAGTCCGCCCCTAGTGGCGATACTGAGGGGCAGGAGGATGGGGTGCTTGAGGACAGCTCGACGCCAGCGCCCCCTCAGGTGACAGGTGGAGAGGCAGATGGCAGGTCAGGGACGGGCTTAACCCTCACAGGGAATAGGTCCAGGACAGGTAGCAGTGACAGGGGCAGCAGCATCTCCGGGCAAACGGGAATTGCGATGGGGGGTGAATCCCTGCCCTCAGGAAGTTGCCGAGATGACAGGAGAGGAGAAGGCAGGTCATCGACAGGAGGTTGCAGGGACATGGAGGAGCCGCAGGGGCTGAGGAGGAATGAGCCATGCAGAGGGGTCAGAGGCGAGCGGGAGTCCCCTATGGGCCGCTCTCAGGCGCAGCAGGACAGGAGCTGGGCCAGGAGGCGAGGAGTGAGTAGCGAACGGCACAGTAAAGGGGACAGGAGCAGCACCCAGGAGGTCAGCAGAGCAGGGGAGGAGCAGGGACAGGAGCCAGTCCAGGAGCCACCGGAGCAGGCAGAGGTCAAGCACCAGGGAACGGAGGCTAAGAAGTAGGCGCAGTGCTTCCAGTTCATCGGGCGGGAGTTTAAAGGACCAGCAGAGGAGGTCTTATGGCCGGGAGGGTCAGGCAGCGAGACAGCGCAGCGATAGTGACAGGAGGAAGGAACGCAGGGAGGAAAGGCGGGTAGGACAACACGTGGACAGACTACCCAGGTTATATTTTCCCGGCAGGTCGAGGAGTATGACACCTACGGTCCCGAGGAGAGGCCAGGTGGAAAGGAGTCGGCAGCAACAGGAGTCTCTGGAGCCTGAAAAGGCGGACGGAAGGACAGCAACCCCGCGGCCGGCCACGGTCGGGGGCACTGGCGGTGAGTCACGAAGTACACCACACACTGGGTCCTTATTGGGTTGCTTAAAATCTTTCATTAACTCCTGGGCGGGAGAAGAGGGGTCAACCCCCGCAGTTTGGAAGGGTATGGTCGCCAGAGGACGGGGGAGATAGAGAACAAGGGGCGGAGAGGATGGTGACACACAAGTCGGGTGCCGTCGAAACGGGGGAAGGTGAGTCGGGAACCGGAAAGGCAGTCGGGTCTGGCCACCAAGCGGTCGGGGGTGGTGAGATAGCGGACGTGGCATGGCAAAACGTGCATGTGTCCTTCGTGGGACCACTAGGATGTCACCTGAAAGCGGAGGTAAAAGAAAAAATTGGGAGAGGGGAATTCATGGAAATCTTCTCCTTACTTCCACTCGAGGAATTTCTCGACTTGATGGAAGAGGATAAGAAGGACGCCAAAAAAGAAGAGGAGGAGAAAAAGCGGCGGTATTGGAAGATACCCAAGACTTTTGGGAATTGGCTCAGGGCCTTCTGTAGTTTGGCGAGCGTAGT